CTCTACTTCAAACATTCTCAGACTTCATCTGAAAGGATAAGTCTGTGTTGAAAAATAAAACGGTTAATTAAATCCGAAATTAATTTAATAAATTAAAAAATTAACCCAGATTTTGATAATTAATTATATATTAAAGGATGAGTTTGTTGTCCTTGAATCCTATAACATCCCAAAGTCCAAATCCAACGTTCAAGCCCAATATGCTCCCAATGGTCAATCTTTTCAATTACTTTGTATGTGAAATTTCCCAACTTAAACAATGTGGGACAAATAAGATAGAAAAAAAATTGCACTCATCCTCCAGCCACTCAATGAATTTCCAATTCTAAACTTCTTTGTGTCTACTTACATTGTGTTATTTTGTTTCTCCAACTCCCAACCTCCCTTCCCTCCCCCTTAGGCCTGGGCATACGATGGGGCAAGTGTTAACACAATACCCAATTCCACCCTCATTCTCAAATCACAAACCCAATTCCACCCAAACGAAACTTCGACCACTCCACACTTGTTGGCAATTTTTTTTTAAGCATTTTATGTATTTTAAGAAATTTTGGTGAATTTTTACACGTAATTGACTTATCAAAGAATTTTTTTCTAAATTCGCAACTTATAATATTTTATCTGTTGTAAGCCTATTTGATTGAGCGATCTAGGGTTAGAAAGAGAGGGGTGCGGCAAGCTTTAGGGAGAAGAGAGATTGATTTAATTGTGATGTGTGTTTGATTCACCCCATTGTGCCTTTATTTATAGTAGTAGAAAGGCTAAAACATTTCCCTTTAGGATTACAACATTTAATAGGTAATCTAATCCTAATAGGAATATATAATACTTTCCCAGATTACCTAGGATTTATACAATCACATTCCTATTCTAAATATGACTGCAACACTCCCCCTTGAGTGTGTAAATACTCAACAAACCATCGCATCAGATCTTCAGCAGATAAGTAGAATAGTTGATGAAGTCATCGGCACAACGAGTGATCGCGAGTCTCAAATTTACTTTGAAGTATGCATTTGTAAAAACTCACAAAAACCTTACTATGGTAAAACCATAGACTAAGGAGAAAAGTAAGAAAATATGCATAATGTCTAAAACACTCGTCAAACTGGACGAAGGTAGTGAACTTAACAGAGTATGATCATCCCAGGATGGGTGCCTCGTTAAAACCTAGTTAGTTAACAAAAATCCAATGGGAAAAATGCTCTTAATCGTAGGGAAAAAGAGTACATTAAGATCAAGTGAGTATGCTTCAAGATACCCCCTTGAGTTAGACATAACTTCTAAATAAGAGAACTACAAGCGATTCAACTCAGATAAGTTACGCATACTGATTCCTTGGACGAGCTTCTGAAATGTAGACTTGGGCAATGACTTAGTAAAGAGATCGGCCAAGTTGTCTTGGGAACAAATTTGCTTGACTTTAATGTTCTGATACTACTGCTGCTGGTGTGAGTAAAAGAACTTCGGCACTATGTGCTTGGTGTTGTCTCGCTTGATGTATCCCTTCTTTAGTTGCTCGATACATGTTGCATTGTCTTCAAAGATCGTTGTAGGAAAGTCAACGACTGATGTAAGACCACTAGTGCTTCGAATATGTACCATAACTTCTCTCAGCCAAAAACACTTATGCGATGCTTCATGCAGGGCGAGAATCTCAACATGGTTAGACGAATTCGCAACTAGGGTTTACTTGGTAGACCTCCAAGATATAACGGTGTCTCCAACGGTAAAGACATAACCCGTTTGAGAACGTGCTCTATGTGGGTCAGACAGATATCCAACATCTACATAATTAGCAAGGCAAGAATCAATCCGAGAGCTATAGGGGCGGCAATATTCAGAGATTCACGGGTATAGAACAAGCTCAAATCCGTAGTACCCTTGAGTAGCGGAAAATGTCTTTAACACCATTTCGGTGTCTGCATGTGGGCGCATTGCTATATCTAGCCAATAGATTCACAATGAAGGAGATGTCGGGTCTAGTACACTGAGCCAAGTACAATAAAGTCCCAATTGCACTTAGGTAAGGAACTTCGGGTTCCAAAATCTCTTCCTCATCCTCCTTTGGATGGAAGGGATCTCGTTTAGCATTTAGAGTTCGAACGACCATAGATGTACTCGAAGGCTTCGCTTTATCCTCATTAAAACGACGCAACACCTTTTGGGTGTAGTTCGATTGATGTACCAGGATTCTATCCGAACAATGCTCGATTTCTAGGCCGAGACAGCATCGAGTTTTCCCAATATCCTTCATCTCAAATTCTGATTTTAGGTGTGCAACAATTTCCTCAAGCTCTGCAGGAGTTCCAATGAGGTTTATGTCATCGATATAAACTACAATGATTACAAATTTGGAATGTGACTTCTTTATGAACACGCATGGGCATAGTTCGTTGTCCACATAACCCTAACTTGTCAAATATTCACTCAGACGTTTATACCACATCCACCCGGATTGTTTCAATCTGTATAGTGACCTCCTCAGTCTAATTGAGAGAGTGTTCCGTGGTCTAGAACTATTTGAGCCAGTCAATGGAAGTCCTTCTGGAACTTTCATATAGATTTCTGTATCTATATCCCCATAAAAATACGTGGTTACCACATCTATAAGTTGCATATTCAGTTTTTCGGAAACTACCAAACTGATTAGGTAGCGGAACGTTATAATGTCCATTACGAGGGAATATGTCTCATTGTAATCAATCACAGGGCGCTGAGAGAAACCTTGTGCTACGAGGTGTGCTTTGTATCACACTATTTTTCATTCTTTTCATTACGCTTCTTCACGAAAACCCATTTGTAGCCAACACGCTTCACGCATGGTGGTGTAGGAACGATAGGTCCAAACACTTTACGTTTCGCGAGCGAATCGAGTTTAAACTGGATTGCTTATTTCCAGTTTGACCAATCGGTTCTACGTTAGCATTCATTGATAGAATGTGGTTTAATGTCGTCGTTAAGCATGATGTCAGTAACTACTGAGTACGAGAATGCATCGTCAACGATCATCTCATTCCTATTCCAAACCTCATCCAATACTGTGTAGTGGACCAAAATCTCACGATTCTCGGAAGGTCGGCATGTTTCATTTGAAGCATCATCATAATTTAGAATAACCTCATGCGTTGGAACGGATGAGTGAGCGATGATTGGATTCAAACTAGAGTTACTAGTTGATGCCATTTTCCTCTTCCAGGGTTGTGAATCCTTTGAACCAGGGGGTTTGCTACGGTTCAAGGTCGGAGTAGATGATTAGCTAGCCACCAATGTACCTTGCCGTATGGAGGGTGCGGCCTGCTTTGAGCAATGCTCTAAAGATCTATAATTCGACACACCTCAGTTTCAATATGGGCAGTGTAGGGATCTAAATGAGACATAGTAGGAGCATACGACAACAATTCGCAGCGTTCTATGGGAATGTTAGAATGCTTATCTCCCCCTAACGATGGGAAAACTGTCTCATCAAAGTGACAATCCACAAAACGTGCGGTAAAGAGATCTCCTGTCAAGGGTTCTAAGTATCAAACATTTGATGGCGAATCATAACTGACATAGATTCCCATTTTTCTTTGAAGACCATTTTGGTACGTAGTGGCGGCACTATTAGCACATAAATGACACACGTAAACACCCGTAAATGCGAGACGTCAGGCTCATATCTAGTGACCAACTGTAACGGTGAATGTGGTTGGGTAGCAGTGGGCCTCAGGCAGACCAACATAGCTACAAGCAATATTGCATAGCCCCAAGCAAATACCAACAGTTTGGTTCTCATAACCCAAGTTCGAGCTATCAATTGAAGGCACTTTATGAAAGCTTCTGCCAGGCCATTTTAGGTGTGAACATGGGGCACATGATGTTCCACATCAATCCCTACTGACATGCAATAATCGTCAAAAGTCTATGATGTAAACTCTCTAGCATTATCCAGTCGAATCGACTTAATCAGATAATCAGGGTGGTGAGCCCTCAGCTTAATGATTTGAGCTAGAAGTTTAGCAAACGCGGCGTTGCATGTGGACAACAAGCAAACATGTGACCACCTTGTCGATGCATCAACCAACACCATAAAATATTTAAATGGTCCGCAGGTTGGTTGGATAGGTCCACAAATGTCCCCTTGAATCCTCTAAAGAAATTTAGGGGGGTCGTGAATAATCCTTGTATGGGAAGGTTGAATATTCAACTTCCCTAAAGAACACGTTTTGCATGACAGAAATCCAACATAGGGATGTAACTTATACCCATAAGAAGATTTGAGGATACAGCGCATCATGTCAAGTCCAGGATGTCCCAAACAGTCATGCCAAAGCAACAAAGTGTCCTGGAACTCAAGCATAGGGCTAGCCACATTGTGGGCTTCTAATGGATGTACAACCCACTCAGCAAACATTCCAACTTCTCGTAAATATGCTTCTGGCCATATTCGTACGAAGTGATACAAAGAAATTCAGAACCATGATCTTCAGTGGTTTCAAGATGATATTTATTATCTCAAATATCTCTAAAACTCAGCAACGTTCTTCCGGAACGTGGAGAATAAAGTGCCTTATTAATGGTCAGAATTGTACCATTAGATAACATGATATGTGCCTTTCTGGATCCTTCAATCAGGTTGGATGGGCCTGAGAGAGTTGTCGAATGAGCTTTCTTGGGTATGAAGTTAGTAAAATAGTGTCGTTCACGCAAAATGGTGTGTGTGTTGCACTATCTGCCAGACAACTAACTTCCCCACTAGACATACCTAGAAATAAATTGATTGAATTGTTCACATACAAAAATATAAGTCCACTCATTCAATTAAGCAATTCAAGAAATAATATCCATTCAAATAACAATCCATAATGCAAAACAAACCAAAACCAAACAAATTATTCCAAATACATAGAAAACTTGTTCAAAATTAGACCATAAACCTAGCAAATTAGGGGGGGTAGGGTTGGGCACTCTTAGTGGGTTTGGCCACTAGGGGTAAACGCCCTAAAAATGTGTCTAATTTATTCATCCATAGGCGCTGATGCCTCCTGGAAGTCCAATATCTCTATGGATGTAGTTGCATCTTCCAGATGATCCACATGTGTAAAGTTAGACTCATGACGAGAATGATACGTGGCAATGGCCTCAGGGGAAGCTTGGCATAAACGTGACCAATGATCCTTTGATCCACAACGATAGCATATGTCCTGTTCAATAGAAGCAGCCTAAATGGGAGCTTTGCCCTTGTTCTTGAAGTTTGGGACCTTAGGGGATAGTGATGGACGCTGCTAGGTCGCAATTCTTCCCTTAAGTGGGGCACTTTGTTGACCTTGGGCCCGTGGTTGGGCTTGTCGCCCATTGCCATGGCCATGACGATTCTTTCGTCGCTTATGGTTGGTAAAATAGCTTGCATGCACTTCAGGCACGGCATTCGAGACAGTGGGTCGATCTTGATGATTCTTCATCAAAAGCTGGTTCTGCTTTTCAGTAAGAAGTAAAACAGAGATCAAATCCGAAAACTTGGTGAATTTATGTGCCTTATATTGTTGCTGCAGGAAAATATTGGTGGCATATAAGGTCGAATAGGTCTTCTCCAAGAAATCTGATTCGGTTAGTTCCACTTTGCAGAATTTCAACAAAGAATGGATCCTACAAACTTCAGAGTTGTATTCATTCATGGATTTAAAGTCTTGGAAGCGAAGATGCTGCCAGTTGTGTCTTGCCTCAGGCAAGTATATGTCTTTCTGGTGATCGAAAAGATTGGCCAGAGCAAGCCAGAGGGTGCGTGGGTCCTCCTCAGCGAGATACTCAGTATGTAGTGCATCATGGATGTGTCTTCGAATGAAGATCATTGCAGTAGCCTTCTGAGCTTTGTCAATAGGTTTGTCGGCGATAGGTGTCTCGATGGTGGCTCTAATGCCCTTTGCAGTGAGATGGAGCTTCACGTCTTGAACCCACTTTAGATCATTTCTTCCGGAGACTTCTAGAGTGGAGAAATCGAGCTTGTTCAAGTTCGACATGTCCCTAAAACGGAGGGAGAAAACGTGATTAGTCATATGGTAAGCCATAGATATATATCGTAGAACATACAGGTTCTATAGACATGTAGTGGTTTAATTTATGCATGAAAACTACGGGTTTCATGTGGTATGTTTTAAATGAAAACTTCAGGTTTCAAAGGCACTAAATTTGAAACTACAGGTTCAATTTAGTTTTTATGAATAATTAGTTCATAATGAGAGGTTACTGCAATAAACATAGAATGCAATATGCTGATTTAAGTATAGTGGATTTGAGTTTCTTCGGGAACTCAAGTGTGAGAGCTTCGTTACTACGAAAGTATGTGACGGTTCAAAGTATAAAAATAAATTATTGAATTGTTGATGTCCAAAAGCGATATTCAGATCAATAATTTTGGATTCATTATCAGATTAACGGACTGTAGGTCATTTTTAATTAATTCAATAAATCGGGCCATACTAGGTCGATTATAGGAGCAAAATAATATTAAAATAATATTATTGGATCGAAAATAGAGCCCCAAAATAATTTGGGCTTTGTGTCGCGGGTGAAGGGCACGGTTTGGGTTGCCTTAAGCATAAGGCAAGGCCGAAAAGGTCCTTGGATGGTGGCTGCAGGCCACGGGATGGACATCAGAAGCCCCAGCCGCAGCTGGGTTGTGTTTTGGGCTGCAATGGAGTGCACGGACAGGTCCAGTGCAAGCTGGCCTGTATGTTTGCGCGGGAAAAGCTAAGCCCAGCGCATGGGCTGGCTGCAGGTGATGCAGGCCATGACGCGGGCCAGGGTGCAGGCTGCGAGCCTGGCAGCACAGAACCCAGCAACCTTAAAGGTTGCAGCGTGCAGGGAATAGGGCCCCAGCCAATCGGGGCTGGGTGGGATGAAGGCTGCGGGCCTTGGTGCAAGGGTGAGGGGCTGCAGGCCCATCCATTGGGACCCCAGGCCGAGATCTGGTATCAGTTTGCACAGAGAAGGTGCGGTGTCATGCATGAAACAAATATATATATTGAATAATATATGAACATATACAATATATATATATATATATATATTTATATATCGAAAGGAAAATATAAACATAGAAGGGTTCATGCATCATGGGGAATGTTTTCAAGCTTCACGTTTCAAATATCTTCCTTTATTGTAAGCGTACCTGATTAGCAGAAAACTAATAAGCCTTTGAATGTGGTGGATGATAGCCTCCTCTTACGATCAATTCCTCAGCTTCTGGCAAGAGCGTTCTCATAACGTGTTGTAGGCCTATTTGATTGAGCGATCTAGGGTTAGAGAGAGAGAGAGAGGGGTGTGGCAAGCTTTAGGGAGAAGAGAGATTGATTTAATTGAGAGGTGCGTTTGATTCACCTTATTGTGCCTTTATTTATAGCAGTAGAAAGGGTAAAACCTTTCCCTTTAGGATTACAACATTTAATAGGTAATCTAATCCTAATAGGAATATATAATACTTTTCCAGATTCCCTAGGATTTACATAAACACATTCCTATTCTAAATATGATTGTAACATTATCTTTAATTTTTGAAGTATGTCGTAAATCCAAATTTCATGAGTGAAATACGAAATTGTCAAAGTAAAAACTAAAAACAAACATTGCATGACAACTCTACCAATTCGAAATCGATCGCAATCCTTGACAATGTAAATTATGTAATTCACATTGTGACCTGCGAACTTTTGTTACCTCACCCGCTATATTTATTTCTTTTACTTGGTGCATACAAATAAGATTCCTAAATAATCTTCAAGTTCAACTTCTTGCACATTATTTTGGTCTTTCACTTCTACTTGTAGACTTGTAGTGGCTTCAACATCAACGGAAATAGGATTTGAAGTACTAGAGATAACTTTTTGAAACCAAATGGGAGTTTTACAAAGTATTTGGCAATCTCACAACCCAAAACACATATTGTGACGAGAGTGTAGTTGCGTCTTATATGGAAGAACAACTTATATGACATATGTTCACCGTTACGGTGTTCATGATAATAAGTTACAACATATGACTACGTGACAGAAAACTAATACATTTTATTATATTATTTTTTGGGCCCAAAATATTATGATTGGGCCGAGCAGCAAGATGTGCTCGGCCCAAGGTAATGACAAATACTATGGGCCGAATAATAAAACTCGGGCCAGCTGGCAGGGTCGGCCGAATCCTATCCTAAGAGGTCCAGATGAGTAGAAGGATCGAGGAAGTCCTGGTGCGACCAGGATTCTCGACCAGCAAGAGATAAAGCCTCAAAAGGAGGAAAATTCAGAATCCTAGAGGGGGTAAGATTGTTCGAGCTAGAGGTAAAATGGGACAAGGACTCCCAATCCAAATCCGAATGGGTTTCAGGGAACGAGGTGCTATAAATACAAGAAATTACGCAATAGAAAAGACCTTCAGAACTCAGCATACAATTGCCCTGCGCAAAACCTCTCAAACACCTTGAGATTTTTTCGTTTTCTTTTCCCTGCCGACACACCTTCAGTTTGGATAAACAACACTGTGGAAGCACCCGGCGAGCACCTTCAGTTTGGATAAACAGCACTGCTGCCGCAGAATCAGCCGACCGAGGAGCACCTTCAGTTTGGATAAACAGCACTGCGTCGAGGTCGACCGATTATCTATCTAAGTCTCGGCCAAGAAGGGTTTTCGAGCCCTTGTTGGTAGAGGTCATCTTACTAAGCCTTTCCGGCATAGTAGGGTGTTACGAATTGCATTGCTCGGCGTATTGGACGCCGAGTGGTTTTATGATTGGATACTCGCAAGTAAGCTTCAGGGTTCGGCATTCCGACGGCCGAACTACGTTTACCATCAAGACATATATCACATTCGAGTACCTGTGCCCATATAGTTTGGTCTCGATTCGGCGTGCTTATACTCTTACGAATATAATCACAGTGACCGAATCAGGTTCCGACGACTTGTGAACTCCGTAGAATTAGTAGCCTTGTCTTCAGGCTATAGAACCCAGAGGCCGAGAGCGTTCCTTCCTCGGTCGCAATCGCAAGATACAGAAGTCAACAGCGCACCCAACGCGACATCAAATTTTACTCTTCGGCCGAGCTTGGCCGACGAGTTGGCACGCCCCGCATTCAACTGAAGGACGTAGTTAGCTCATTAGTTACTCGCCCTGCGCGCCACGTAGGTTTTGTAATTTTTAGAGTCAACAATTATTAACACAAAATACCACGCAATTGTAAATCTATTTCATATAAATCTTTCTCTTTGTGTGAATGGTCCAATTAATTAATTTCCAACCTCCAAAGGCACAGGTGATCTTTAACAACATTGATTTTTCATTCTATTTTATTGAATTTGGTCAATAAACAAAGTTAATTTAGTTTTAAGGTTTTTGAATTGCAACTTGCATATACGACGATTCCCAAAGCCAAAAGATTCTCCCTCCCACCGCCCTAGTCAGTATAGCATTCATGTCCCCAGTCCAGATCTCTCTAATACTAATTGCTATGCACATGTTGTTGTCTCGTGTTTCCCTTCTCTCTTCGCTCAGTACTGAAAGTTAATGAACGAGAGTTTGAAATCGTAACGTAGTTGGTTAAAAGAAAAGATAAATGGATTAATGATTTCGTGGTAATACGATAGTTAAAAGATAGTTTTTATGGTAAAAAAATAAAAAAAATATAAACTTCTATGGTAAAGTCGGTTAGGATTTAGACTTAAAATTAAAAATTTCATCAATTCTTTGTTAATTATTGGCACATAAGCTCACATGTGATGCTGAAAGGATATAGTTAGTCTCACATGTGAGTTTTACATGCTAACAATTGATGAAGAATACCGTTTTAGCCTCGTATGTGTGACTCAGGTGCTAATAATTAACAGAGAGTTAACAGAATTTTCGATTTTGAGCATAAATACTAACAGAGTTCACCACATGAGCTTAAATCCTAATCTTTTTTACTACATGAACTATCTTCCCGTTATTCTATCACCACGAAAACTAATAATCCAATTTTATCGCTAATGAAAAATACCGTAATCATGAAAATAAAAACTGAAAAATTGAAATGATTATGAAACAAATAAAAAAGAAGACAAATAATTTATTTATTTTATGAAAATCCAACTGCCATTGGACATAAACAACCAAGATCAAGATCACAACATAAAATTATATAACTGGACTCATACCAAACATAAAAAGGATCAACTACCAATTCTTGCTATTATTACTAAAGCAGACCAACTTTAACCCTAATTAACATTCTCCATAAAGATTAAACTACACACAGAAAATTTGAGTAATTAAATTAGGGGCACTTGGGCTTGCCCTTGTCGTTCTTCTTGTCCCTGTAGCAAGGGCACTCGTGCTTGTTCCCATAAGTCCCAGAAGGCACACACTTGCACGCTTCACAGCAAATCCCACAATACTTTATGCATCGATCCCGAACTCCTGCTACTGCACACCTCGTCGAGCACTTGTCGCTGCAATATGCTGCAAGATTAATAAACCCAGTTAACATCTTAACCTACGGTGATCGAACGAATTAAACTTTTCAAAGCAGATGACATGCATGGTTAATTATTCGACGAGTAAGTTCTGTTGTCGGACTTATATCATCAAAATGCCGATCTAAACTATATGGTATAACACGAGTTTAGATAATTAATGGTCGAGATTCACAGTCTAACAGCCAGATAATACGGCAAAAGAGAACATCTCCATTTACTTGGGCAAAATCTAAACACTTACGTGAAGTAGCGAGGGCCATGGCTGGATCCATGAAAGAAAAGGTAAGAAGAAGGAAACAGAGGAGTGGAAAGTAGAGCTTCATTTTGCCTGGTGAACTCAAAGGACAAGTCGTAGTTGAGAAGTGTACTTGAGGCAGTGTGGAGGATTGTGAGAGCTCAAGCTGGTATTTAATAGCGAGTGAGAGAGAACTTGTGAGTCGGCAACTTTGGATACCCTCCAAAAAAAACCCAAGGCAATATTTTTTTTCTTTTTTTATTAAACAAGTTATAGAATAGTGTAAATGATCTTAGATTTTTTAGTTGACATTAATAAAAAAAGGAGTATACAATGTTTATTTAAAATTCAAATTTTTTTGGGTTATATTTTCTGAAATAACTTATCTATAATTCCATTAGTTTGTAAACATGGAAACCAACTAGTACTACGTAGTGGTATTTCTCTGGTTGACGGTTTAAGATCGATTATCATAAATGATAAGTTTATTGTTAAATGATCATGTTACATCTATTGTGTGGTTTAGTTCTAATTTCTTATCTTTTAGTGTGAATATATTTTAAGGATAATGTTAGAAAGATTAAATGTGTAGACTAAATTTTGTAAATTAAATGACATGAAAGTGATTGGATTATTACTTAAGCGCTGATTAATGTGATTATTTCTTATTAGTGATACATTATTTAGTTTGCATATTTAATTTACAAATTTAATCTACAAAACATTACTTATATTTTAATATTAGTAGTACAAATTACCCTATACTTGTGCACAGAAATTCTAAATTCAATTATCATCTCACATCGCTTGTAAAAAATGGAATAACTTTGTGCAAATTATCTTTACAATGATTTTTTTTTTCTTACCCAAAGAAATTTATTTTTACTTGTTCTAATTTTATTTCAGTTTGGAAAATAGTTTTTTTTTTCCAGTAAAATTTAAATATATAAGACAAAAATAGTACGTGAGCAGTTGGGATGATGAACTAAGAATAAATGAGGGATTGGGTCTCACTGCACAGCTGGAACTTGGAAGGGTGCAACTTTTGGAACATATTTATTGAGTCCGTGAGGTAAGAGTGCGATACAGATAGGCGGTCCACGCGGTATTTGCACTGTGAACTAGATTCCTCGTTTTTTGCCCTACGTTGGGATGCAACGAAATGAGTTTCACAATTACGTATGAGTAATTGTTAGTCGTTGATTGTAAAGAGTTTTTATAAGGTATTTTTTAGGAAAATGTTATTGGCACTTCAAAAATCTCATTCTACACTCATTTTCTAAATGTATGTATGTTGAGAATGTGAGATGTGAGGGTATTATGAGAAAATACGTAAGGTGTATTAAGATAATTTTTAATTATAAAAGCAAATATGAGATGTATTAAATATGTAAGATTTATTCAATAATATCTGGGTGTTAATATAATAGACCTTTTTATAATTAATTAACGGTTAAACACCACTTATCGCGTGGACAGTTGTTCTTAAGCATGAACACGCGGTTTAAGGCCACTTGCATTTGTGTCTATCAAAAGAGGTCCTTGTAAGACTCGAATTCAAGAAAATCTCTTAGCATGAGTTTTTGACGGACGACTAAAGTAGCGGCAAACTCCTCTAGCATAGCTCTAAACATGCATAAAACAAACTGAAAAAAAACTAGGTAACTAAATAATTCAATTTCTTGTGGATGTTTTTGTTAGAACATAAAGTATATACTTGGTCAGAAGAGGTACTCGGTTAAAATTTCATCATCAAGGAAATTTAACCTCTGTCGGATCTTTCCATCATGCAGGTTATCCAAATTTCTCAAACAATTCATTGTTGCTGCACTGTTGCTATTGCTATAGGACACAAATATTGGTTTCCTGGTTCAATGGTTTTGCAAGTTGGGGGAGGCTTCAAATTATTAATCCAGTGCACGATTCAGGGGCTTGTGGTCTGCAGTTGGTTTTCAAATTTATGTTTGTCCTTCCAAATTAATTACGTGATGTTTGGATCATAAAATTCTTTTGGTCTAATAATCACTTACGAAGAAGTACATCCTCTAAGATCATAGAGAATCTTACTTTTGAGAGTTTTTTTAACACTTATGTCGGAAATGTGTTATGCCTGTGAAGAGAATTATTGGGTACCAAAAATAATAGGAATATAGGATCCACTTTTATTAGCAACTGTGGGTGTGCGCGTTTTTTTTAAATTTTTTGTGGGGTATCCAAATAGAATTATTGGTCTACTGAAACATATGAATTTAGAGCTAGACTAAACGTTTGTTTGTTTTGGTTTTGTGATTAATTCAGTGTCATCGGATTAATTGCCACATATGTTGTATTATAAATTTGTGGTAGGAGTCGTATGACTAACATATAATTCATGCGGACGAAGAGTTAGACTACATAGGATATAACAACCACTATATTATGCTAGAAAATTATTGCACCCCTTAAATTCCCTCTTAATTGTGACCCTTGATTCTCCTTTTATTTGTTCGATTCAACATTTGGAAAGAAAAAAGAAAAAGAAAAAGAAGAGGAGGTGTTAAGGAGGTAAACGAGCGTGCGCAAAAATCATTTTCCTTAGATTAGTAGTACAAACAAATAAAGCCAGGGTAAAAAGAATGTCCACCTTTAAGTTTTGGGGGATCTTGCCGTCTAACTCAAGCTGTGGAAGCTCAAGTCGGGCATTTTGTGTGAAATTGTAAATTATAACCGAAACTCCGCCGGAGACCGATGCTCTCCGTAAACTTCTTATTCATACCAGCACTAACAAGTTTATCTCACAACCAGAAGCACCTATGACAGACACTCCGTTAAGAGACTACTAACTACCTTCTAACTCATTACACGGCATATCACATGTACCTGTACAATAGCAAAACAAATGAACTGTATCTTTTACTCAAGCATCTGCCAAGAATCAGCTCTACCAGCCACTGGATCTCGTCCGATAGTTGCGACGCATGCAGGTTCAATTAGTACGTACACAGTCCCGCATGGGAGAGCAAACGAAGATGGGATGGGGCAAAATGTGATGTACTGGTAGACCAAACTGATGGTAGAGATGTTCGCGTTTTTGCACCTTTGCAGACGCTTTCCTAGGACATAAGAGTTGTTCACATGCATGCATAGCTTACAAATAAGGTACATACATACATCAACCTCCCATATTCTTGGTTGGGCAAGGCTGCTGACCATCAAGGTGTTCCTTGGCATAGTTACTGGATGCTAGCATGTTGACCTGCAATGTTGCATGCAGAAAACCTTAGTGTCTCACGTGATGACGTTTTTCAATAACATAAATATACATAAGCATAAGTCCTATACCTTGACAATTTCAGACCTCGAGCTTGGACGCATATATGTTCCCAAGATGCTCATGTTGAATTCCTGGGTGCAAGATATTTTTGGGAAAAAGAATATTTAGGTGAATAAAGGAGAAACATTAATCCTTGGCATCACTTGGATACTTGAAAAAAAACAAGGTTAAACATAATGTAGCCTGCACACTGCTAGAGGATTCTTTTGAGGTGAGCAAGACTTAACAGTGTTGTTCTTTACAAGTTTACGACTTTATCATTGTGGCATGATTTGAAAAGGCAACCGAGACTACAGCACAAATTAAGCTGACCCGTATATAGAACTATTGAAGTCTTCGATAATTTATAATATTAGTTTCCGTCCAAAAAATAAAAAGGAAGATAGTTACAGCATGAGAATTCTGTAACCTGTTAAAAGTATCAAAGGGACATGCTAAAATTCATGAAATCTCTATATGTTTACAAGAAAAATAAAGTTGCATGAAAAAAAATAACTACAAGTCTAAGTACTCTAGTAATCACTTATGAAGAGTGTCTCCTATTTCTTAACCTTTCCCCCCCTTTTAGGGGTTAAGGGGGAGGGGTTATAACTTATTTTTAAGAAATTAACCCACTATATCATCTAACAATAGTATGAATGTTTACAATTCTACTCGATTGACCAAAAAAGTGGATACCAGTAGTAAGAATGAAACTCACTCTGAAAGGATCTCCCCTTAAAGATTGCACAAACATAGAACTTCCAGATCCCCCTCGTCCCTGTATAAAAACAGAAATTTGTATCATTGTTTTCTTCAAAGTAACTAGTGTCTAGTGGAATTCACAACCATTAGTAGATGAAAATACTTCTTCAAATCCTTTTCCCCTACCCCTTTTGAATTTTATTCCCCTTTTCCTCCTTTCGATACTCTCAAGTTTAAGGCATTACCTTTTACTGTATTTTTGGTTTCTTTCATCTCCTATTTTCATATTCCTTCTTATTGAGAACGAATCGTAAAACTTATTTTTGACGATGATAATGATAACTTGCAACTTCAATCAAATACAAGGTGAAGCACTGCCAACAACAGCAGAGTTTGGCATCATACGTAGAAAGAACTTTATCCTATTTCACTAGATGGCATTTGAACATGCATATCTGACAAAGAAACAATGTTTCCTGGTACTTTAAATTAGAAATTAGTACCTCCAAAGATATATCCCTCAGCCGCCTCCCGGTTTGAGCACAACATATGCGGACTACATGCTCATCACAACTCCCGCTGATGATATAATCCCTTCCATTCATGTAATAGGATCGGGTGTAATTCTGAGAGCTTCCTGTAGAGGCTATCTCAAAATTCAGGTGAAGTCTCCCATCAACTGCCAGAAGTTGTCGAACCTGACATCATCAACAAGGTAATCAGTATGCTAATAGATGGAAGGACAAGTGAACCATAACAAAATAACAATGAACAAAATATACCAAAAAAGGAAAAATAGCTTAAGCTTTCAACAGTGACGCCTCCTACATATCCCACAATATACAACTAACCTGACTGAGTGCACCAACTCGATGGTAACATCAATTTCCCAATAAGAGACCTTACTACAAAATTCGAGTGCAATAATAACAAAATAGAAAGAAAAAAAATACAACTAAAAACTTTATAGGAAAAGAAAAAAAAACATGCCATTTTAACAATTGAACATTTTACTTTCCATCATTTTTACCCTGGAAGCATCAAATCTTACCAATCGAACCAAGTTTGATTCTTAATCAGGTATCCAACATCACATCTAGATCAATGCCAATGGTCAAAGAACACACATTGACAGCCCAAATTTATATAGTAATAAACAAATCATAAAATTACCTTATTGTCAACAGCTGACACTAAAAGATAATGATCATCTGGAGAAAAGCAAACCATCACATTACCCCTAGGGCTTGAAGAAGTATAGCAAGGATGTATTGGCTTCTGTCTGAGATCCCACATCTTGACATCCTTATCAAATGAAGAAGTTGCAAAAAGAGATGGGGAATGGTTTGCAAACTTCAGTACATTAATATGCTCCCGATGCATACCAGTAAACACCTGTAAGCGTCTTCCACTACTTATGTCATACAAAGAAACATCTCTTGAGTATCCACTAGCAAGAAATAGTTCGTCCGTGGAGTTAACATGAACAGAAGTCAACTGGTCAAACTCGTCAAAAGTCACAGAACCAGCACTATGGTAGACGCCCCTTACCATTGATCGTGTATGATGGATATCATATAATTTCAATGAACCGTTATCTGACCCAGCTATTAGCTGACATTCAACGAGGAAAAAACCAAGGCAGAATTATTATTTGCCAAATCAGGAGATAGATAGATGTCTAATCTTTACAACATGACAGAGTAAAAAAATCAGGTTCACTATCAACTTTGGAGCAATCTTGTATCCATACTGTGGTTATATGCATGTCCAATTGTCCATCAAATACATATCTTATATTTCTACCTATACCTACAACCTGGCCAAGTTCTTAAGTCAAAGAAATTCCTTTAGAACGTAGACCTATTGTATGACAAATCAAATCCCACATACTCCATTCAGTTGTCATGAATGCTGTTACCAGCAATTGTGTTTTGAACACTTTTCTGGCCAACTAAACCGCATACAATAAGAAAAACAAAAAAAATCAAAGAATGATGCAGCATTCTGGGATTGATAGGTGCAACAATCTCAAAAGAAGGAAAAAGAACTTCAACTGTTAATTATATATTAAGAATAATAAACCATGACTTTGCATACCTTAGAGGGATACTTCTTGAGCCAACAGAGTCCCAGGACACTATTCATTGCTCCTGATGATGGGATATAACTGACAATTTTTTCATTCTCATGGTTGACTACAACTACTTCACCATCTAATGTTCCAAAGACCATTAGACTAGAGTCAGATGGATGATACTCAAACTGCCTAGGGCGAAAGCTCCTACTTTCACCTCCCAAGTTTCTGCCTGAAACCGATAGCGGGTGCAAGAAAGGCCAGGCAGAAGATCCCATTTTAGCAGCACAAAGAGACCTCGTATAGAAGTGTTGAGATTTTCCATAGAGACTTGATGATTTCTGACCAGGACTTTGCACTTGAGTTTGGCTTGCTCTTATTTCACGCTTCTGTAACATGTGGACAATATTCTCTTTATGCTTCCTCTGATAAGGTAGATTCTCAAAACACTCTGAAAATTTAATCCTCGCCCTTTCCTGATCAATCTTTCCAATAGGCAAGTTATCCAAACTTCTCAAATGAGGTAATGAGGCTATCATGTACTCTCTATAATGTTTCTCGAAACATATTGGTGAAGCATGATAAGAAATATATTTCAATTCAATGTCTCCAATATGCTTTGTGAAGGTACCCTGCAAGGACTCCTCTTCATTTTGATTCTGTGAGTCATCAAAAGAAGCATGTCAAACAAAGTAGAAATTTGACTATCATGAATACAGAAGAAAGGGTTGGATGACAAAGATGACTACAAAATTACAACATTATATAGTAGAACAATAATGCTTAGTAATTATCTTTATATGAAAGACAGCAATTGGACCTCAAATGCTTAATTTGTTAGGCAACAGGCCAACAACGGATATCAAGCTAACTTGCGCCCTTATGTGCAACCCCGTGTTGCAACTTAGCATGAAGAAAAATAAATACATAAAGGTGCAGTTCCCCCATGCACCTTGAAAATTAATTAATAGAAGGGGAATGGGACTTGGAGGTTTCAAACACATGGAGATCTGATAATCTGATGCCACGTGAGGCAACCATTGACCCCAAAAGCTGAGGCTGTTAGGGAATGGGAATACAAAGCATATCAAGCTTACTATTACGGAGAATTGTAAAAATACTATAATAATGTACTAGGACGACAATTTCAATAGGATTTGGAAAGCTAGTTGCCTGCTCCATTATACTGTTGTTGTTGCTTGCTCCATAGTAAGATGATCTACTTAAAAATTCCCACTTAGAACACTCAACACATCAAATGCAAAGACCAATGTTATTACCTCATTTTGTGGATCGGCCTGTCTATTCCAGCTTGAGAAAACATTTGATAATAGCCCTGCAGAACCATGTTCTTGCAGGGGATTCGGTGAGTCTAGTTCACTATCATCTGATGAATCTTCAACCATGCTTTGTTCATCATCATTTACACCCATATTACCCACTACAAACAAATTCCGTAGCACCTCTTCAATGCTTGAATTGTAATCTGTTGGTTCCCCAACACACATGGATGGTCGCCCACCATAATGAACACTATTTGGCAGATTGGAATCAGTTTTGTCATCAGGCTTCCGACTAGATGATGCAGAAAAAGGGCCAACATTATTGCAGCCCGACCAATTCTGAAATCGAAGTTCAACCAAAGAAGGGAGTTTAGAAAGTGCAGCGATGGTTGTCCAGAGATTTGAAATTCTTGTCTCACACAGAGAAAGACACTTTAGGTTGGGCATGCAAGTAAAACAATCCTCCTGAAAACTAGTGAGCTTAGTACTAAAATCAAGGTTAAGGGTGTGTATCCGCATGAACTCCCCCATCATGTTGAGCTTCCGAAAATGCGACGACCTTAAGTTTAAAACTTGGCATGTTAAACCTCTCTGAGAAATATCCCTAAGAATTAAACTTGATTAGTGATAGCAAACAATTTACGTAGGAAAAATCAATTTGATTTACAGATGTACATTTCTCTATACAATATATTTCTCTCAGAAAATAAATAATAAACATGACTCTACACTACTCAATACACATAAAGAAGGCAATGTGCAACTAAAATACATAAAATTCATTATAAAGGAATACCGAACAACTTAATAGAAAAAACCAGGTCTGAAACATATATTTTGACATTCCAAATTTAAGCAGATTCTTTATCGTAAAACTTTGATAATATAACTCAGTTTTATCAATAAAATTCAATTCGCAAATTTATGTGAAATTCCTAACCATTCCAATATTAGGATGCATACAAGATGGTATAGATAGCTAACAATCACCTACTAATTTGCCAGTACGTTTGGATGTGATCCACTCGGTATTATAGTCATACAGAAACAAAGACACAATACACATGTACAACAAATAAACAAAGACACAACACACATGTACAACAAATATCCCTCCTCATCATTGCCTCTTGCAAAAAAGTCCTCTTATTAAGCTACTACTATGACAGTGAGTGTTATACCAGATAAGATCTACGATAATTTAGAATAAAACAATCAACACAAAACCAATTAAAACCAGTTCCACTCTATACCTCGAGAAATTCTTTCCAAATGACAAATCATAGAGATCAACAACTCGAAGCTTTTGATTAATAGCGCGCATCAACAACAGAGCATATTTTCCATCCAGAACATACAATGATTTATTGCATATGTCAACTGCTTCAACCTCTGAATCATCAAGCTCCATGCATAAATCAAGAAGTGGCGGGAAATCAGTATCCTTAAGGTGGTCTAATGAAATCTCCAAGCTACATACTTCCTGGCAATATTTTTTAACCTTAGCCTGAATAGTAAACAGAAAGCAAGGAATCAGATTAAGAATAGTACTATAACTATTTCAGACCACCAATATTAACGATTTTAGTGTAAATAATACGCATTATAAATTTTAAATGCAAGTAATGTTGATCATTACTATTCAATTGAACAGCCCAATATAACGGATTAAGCTACAAAGGAGCAAGCTACGTGGATTTGAACTCAATATATATTACTTTATACTCTTAAGAAATATCCCACTCCCCAAATTCGTGCTTGTTGTTTCCCTTTCGTGCCCATGGCATGGTTTACGGTCCTATTGTATGACAAACATAAGGCATGTCATGCCGTTTTTTGGTCACTTAAACACGAATGCTGATGTCGCTTTGCCCATCTAAACTCTAATAAATACAATGAACACATTCATTTTAATGAATAAGAGAAATTCCTAGTTCTACAAAGCCACAGCTACTTTCAACAAGAATTTCATTAACAAATGGATCAAGAGAATTAAACCTTAAAACTAATTAATAAATTCATCATTAAAATAAAAATTGGGAGACCATTCATCACTGACCTTGAAGAGAACGGACAGAATTGCAGGATTTGGTAGGACACAGTGCCTCCTGCAAGAATTTATATACCTAAAGCACCCATAAAAAAATAAAAAAAATCAAATCAAATCAAAATATTATCTAATTAAAATATTAACATTAAAAAAAAAGAAAAATTACAGCAGAAACAAGTCCAGACATTGTAATTCATACAAGTTGAACTACTAAACCGCAAATAATCATCCAAAATTTCACACTATTTTGAAAAAGAGACAGTAGGAAGAAGAATTAATTCAAAGGAAGATGACCTTTCTTTCAAAATTTGGACGTCGATTGCCATGGCGACTGAGATTTGCAATTACCGACCAACCATGGAGGGATTTTCTGATCGTTTCCTGCGCAGGTGAGGTGCGTAGACACTGGTGACGCGGGTGTTGGGAAGTTGGATAGGTTACGGGCTTTGTTTAGCTTTTGATGGATAAGGCCCATCTCCTTTGTAAAATATACCATGGGCCATGGGTCGTAAGTTTTGAAACCATAATTGAATGGTTCAAAAATGTCAAGCTCAACCCAATTAGCCCATTTTGGAATGGGTCGTTTTTCTCCTAATTCAAATTGAGCTTGAACATAGGTCATCTCCAAACGAAAAAACTAAACATAGCTACGTTTAGAATTATAGAAATTATTTTTAAATTAACAGTGCAGGCCATACTTTTATATCATCTTCAACCTATCAATAAGTGGGAATAAAAGAGTTGGAACCGCAAATCACGTCACAAATTGTAACAAGTTGAAGTCAATAACCTATCAATACATTTATCATTTTCAGTCTTCCAATTTTTAGTGTTTCGCTTTTCTTTTGTGTTTTTATGTTTCCGTTCAATAAAAATTGATCCAAAAACAAAAAAAAATTTGTTTACCTGTAATTTGTTCAACTACTATTTCAATGTAAAACTGGATTAAATCGAACCTGCATAAAACTAAAAACTAGAATTGTGTTATTCCTTGTAATAGGAAAACAAATAACAAGGGATGGTGGTATCCACACACTCATTTTTACCTTTCATAAACTCTTTTAATTTTTCACCAACGAATCAAATGACTTGAAGAAGATCAATGGATAAAAATATTAATAAGTGGGTGTGAATGGCACTACCCAATTTCTTAACTTAAGTTACAGGCTGTTGCGACCACCGTACAGCCCATAAACAAGCTCTTAAACTTGAAGCCCAATATCCCTGACCTGGAAGCCCATTTAGGCCTAGTTGGATATTTTTTGTTATTTAATCTGCAATTTTCTTCTTTCGGCTCGCACACGGCGGCCTTGTCCGACTAAAACGTTGTCACCATTTTTGGTGGTAGTAGTTGTTAAACAAGGATGTCATTGCTGAGGTTTAATGAATAAAAACTAGTACAACTAAGGCACTAAATAACATTTCAACTTTTACTTTTTGATACCAATTATATATTTACATTCAACTTTCTGTTTGTCCAGCTGAGACATTTTTATCTTTTTTTTTTTTATAAGCGATATCTAAAGGTTCATTTTAAAAAAAAAAGTTACACCAAAGAGAGGATGGAAGAATGTTTAAACTCAAAATGCAGTGTAAAAAGAAAAACCGTAGCTATTTACTATGGTAATTCATCACCAATTTGTATGAGAAACTCCTCCACAAATAATCACTTGATTTGATTCAAAGGAGCTTCTCATGAATGATAATTAATGTAAAGCTGATTGTGTATGGCGAAATACTTTGCTATATTCCTGCATGCTACCATTTTTGCAGCAAAGTTTATAAAAAGTCTTGCCAAGCTTCGTGTTCATTAAGCTATGTTTATTAAACAAGGAAGATTCAAACTTTAAGTTGAGTTTATAACTTGTTGAGTTCATGATGGCTTCAGTTATTTCGATCAAATGCAGACACATATTCCATTTTACTTCTCACATACATTTTTAATTTTCAATCATCGGATCGGATGAATTGAAGAAGATTAACGGACATAAATTATCAAGAGGTGTGTGGATAGCACACCCCTATATATATATATATATATATATATATATCCATCTTTGCTATTGTTATAAATTATGGATCAAATGCAATTGATTTTCTTGTATCAGAGAAGCTATGACCATAATGATTTACACACAGTTTTATTTCTTATACATAATATATTTATTCTTATCTTTGATTCTTCTTTGATTTGTTTAATCTAATAAGCATAAATAAATAAAGTATGCATGCGTAAAAATTTGTCCCTTGAATACAAATTAAACGGATTGTGATTGTCCTCTCATGTTTTCCCCTCATCCCACGTCTAATGTCAGATAAACTCATAAGCCGTCGACACTTTGTTATTGATCTAGTTTACGATTTCAATAAAAAAAATTATAGTGCAAATAATTTCAGTACCTTTCTGACCTAAATAGTTCCTACACAATGACATGCAATATACAATCCCATATGCAAAAGAAAAGAAAAAGGTGTCAAAGAAAACGCCTAAGCCCTCATATGTACACGCTGCCCACAATTGGCTAATTTTCTGAAACAAGAAAAAGAAAGAAAGCATATTGCTCCAAATCTAATTCTTTGGCGACCGAATTTTAAACCCTAATTATGTGGCTCTCTTTAGTCAATTGTCTTCCCAGATTTGACAGACCCAACTCAACAAAAAGATGCCCCCTTCCCCATATCTCGTGCGTCTCAATTCCCACTACTCCTTTTCAAGTGCAAGTTGGCTGCTCTAGCATAAAAGTTGAGCTTGCCATCACAAACAATGGACCATGCAATCACTATCTAAAACCGTCACGGTGGCGTCATGTTCCAATCAAATAATGTCATATGTAAATTTCTAATTGCATGATATTGTATTAATAAATCGCAAAGACACATAACAAATAATTTTTTTTATAAGAGTTGATCTACTCTTTCGTACACAACACACATTTCTTTTTTTTTGCTTAAATTAGGGCTGCACGTGCCTTTGAAACGTAAGGAGGAAGGCTGTTGCATGTTAGTGACGTAAGAAGAAAAAGGAATCATGGTTTGGGACCCGAAGACGAAAGAAGAAGACCAGCATGCCTTTTAATCTTGTTATTTTCAATTTTTAACTATCATATGCCACTGCTAGGCTAGATTAGTAACTAACACATGCATAAGAACGTGGCTTCCGGTGCAGGTCCAAACGATGAAACAAGTGAAAACTTCATAAATCTAATCATAAGCAATAAAAATAGTCATTATCATGAACGAACTAGAGAAGGTTATGAATTTATTATAGCGGTTGAACGCAACTAATATGTGAGTAGCATTGAAACGCTAACCATTTAGTAGATTGAACGGCACTAACAACTCGATTAGACACACTGATTTTGTTGGGATTATATATATTTCATCAGTTAACCTAAAAAAAATAAACAATTTGAATCATGAGATAATCAGTGGTGAAACCATTAATCATATCTCAAAGTGTCCTATAGTATACAAGGTAAATAGTTTTTTTTTTGACGAAAGAAATGCTCACGACGCATACAACTATTTTGAGTTCAGTCGATTTATGTTGAGTTTTGTTAGTAAGGCATTTCATTGAGCACTTGTTGACCTGTTGACACTGTCAAACCATACTGTCACAGCATGTTGAGCTTCACCTACGAAGAAGGTATCTAATTGAATACTTGGTGGGCACTAATGGGTCTTGTACCAGAATGCAATAATACTTTTGGGAGACCTTCCAATCCATTTTTCCGTTTCCCGTAGGGTCCCAGAACCCAACTAGTCCCTGAATGAATCCGCCCACCGAGATAACAATATAAAGGGGACCTAAACACGTGATTATCATTGTATTAATCTACTATATAGTTATATCTTAAGTTGTATATTAATTAAGCAAACGTAGATTATGTTAGAATATTTTTTTACATACTATATTTTGAAGCTGCAACTTTGGACGATAAGATCTTATGTCGAATCGAGTATAGTGTGCATTAGAAATATATAAACCGGAAAAAGGAATGAGAATAAAGTAGAGAATGATGAGAAAACCCTGTTCATTGCATTATTATTATATTCATGTGCAATGAAGATGGCTTTGTTTACAAGGAACAACAATTTTGTCTGCTGCATGCAAATTGCAGCTCCCTTTTTACCACAAATAAATGGAATAAGCCCCAACTGAACCCATGATCTTTCAGTTCTCATTCCAATGGCCCGCAGTTGAATTGCATTAATCTTTTTTATATTATTTTTTAGGGTTTAAGATATTTTTGTGGGATGGATGGATCATTAATCATGGGACTGGAACAGAGAAAAAGAATATTAGAGCAATTAGAGTCCAAAAGTATAATATCCGAGGTATAAAATCAGTATCACACATGAGATGCCACCATATACCCAAATACAATCCGATAATGCAGATCTGGTGAGTGGTGAGTCTGTTTTGTCATTCTCGTCCATCTTTTTCCATATCTTCAACAATTTTAATCTCTCTAGCTATATCTATCCAAATCAAGCAAAAACATGATTGCTAAAACAATGTATGGATGGCAAATTCATGCATGTCACGTGGATTAACAAATGCCTTATAATTTAGTAAATAAGAACATTTTTTACAGAATACTCTAAAAATGAGTTTTAATATATGAGTAGACTGGCTCAATTACTATAGAGATATTATAATGTTATTACCAATCCTCGCAATGTTACGTAGCATTTAGCATTGTACCAAGTGATGCTATCAATGTGGTGATTCTTGTTTTTTTGGTTTCTTACTGGTGCTCATGGCGCACTACGAGATCTTCACTGTGCCGAGGCACCAAGCAGGGCATAAGAGCTGACTCGGCGTTTGCGGCTTCATGCCGCACTAGAGTGATGTGGTTTTGCACGTTCCACCACTTTTCTGTTCATTTTCAATACTAATCATGAAACACCATGAGCAGCAAGATGTTGAGGTCCAGAATTCGAAGTGAAAATTTTTATTCGCTCGTTATGGAGGTTCCCGCCGACACCTATGTTCCCCAAGGGGCACCGGTGTAGATTGATGAAATCCTACCAGAAGTTCCTCAGCTATACCAGCCTTTAATGGACGATGCTTTTTAGACAAGAGAACTTCATCTACGGTTAATCCAAGTCGGAAGTCCTCAACAGGCAATGGTACTCACCTCATCACTAAATATATATTCTATGGTGAGCGAATCAAGTCATTTTAGAATGACTCTGGTACTCAAATACAAATGATATTGTAAAAGAAGTTAATAAACTTTTGTTGCGGGACTTTTAGGTTGAGGTGGACATGAGCTTTGAGAACGTCCTTTTGTCTCCCTTGGTGCGGATTCGTAACAAGTCCCGAGATATCTCAAAAAAGATAGCTTGTCTTAGGAATTACCCCAGTAACATCAATAGCTCGATGATAGTATAAAAAATCAAGATAATGACTTGCTAAAGTGAAGCGTGG